TTTCTTTCTTCTTTCTTTTTTCTTTTTTCCCTTCCTTCCTTTTCCTTTCTTTTTTCCTTTTTCCATCCTACCTTCCTTTCCATCCTTCTTTCTTTCTTTCTTTCTCTTCACTTTGATTGTTGCCCTATTTAGACTTCTTTTTTTTTTTTTTTTGCCAAAGAATTAAAATTACAAGTAATGTACAAGAAATATATCAGTTCCTAATAAATGATGTTTCTAGGGTTAATTAGACACATTTCTTCCTTCCACAGGGGAATTTAGAAGTGACAACAACAGCAATTCTGAGAAAGAAAATAACAGGAATGAGCAGATTTAATTGGTTGATATTGTTTTTTAATTCAGAAAGTAGGTCTAAGTCAGTTCACGTTTGAACAGATAGGATGATAGTCCTGAGTCTTTTTGGCTATTCAAAATATGTCTTTTCCAGGCCAGAAAAAGAGAAGTACCCTGACCGAATTTATGCTAGTCTTCTGAAGTGAGATTGGGCTGCAATGCGCTTAGTCTATTTTGCTCTTGAATTGTTAGTGTTTGCCACAAACTTTGCCCTCTTTCCTGTTTGGCATTTATAATCAAGACTTTCTACTGTCTAACTCAGTATATCTGTCACTTAGTAAGTCAGTAAATGACTGCTCAAAAGCAAGCCTCCAAAGACCCAGCATATTTTAAATTATTATCCTGAAATATAGCAAGCAATAAGCTCAGTAGAAGAAAATAAGTTAATTTTTTATTTATTTTCTAAGAAAGCCCAGATAAAAAGTCTGCTACTTATCTTATTCAGGAGCTACCTCTGTTTATTACAGAAGCTCTGTCTGCATAATTAATGCTTTAAATTTAGATAGCACCTTGTTCAAGTAGGAACTAGTTAAAGCAAATACCATTTATTTTCTACCAGTTTGTGAAAGGCATATATAGGTACTTAGGTACCAATTAGAGATATGAAAATCATGTTTTCTCTTTGCATATATTGTTTTTGTCTAAGTGCAGGCAAACTGGACCACACATGTAGTGAGATGCTTGTTGATTGTATTCAGCAGCAACTCCTGACACAAATTTGACTGAAAATTCCCCCACTCTTTCAAAACCCTTTTTAGCATTTGTGTAGCTGGTGAACAGGACAGACTCCAAATGGACATTTTGCATAATATTTCTCATTGGTAATTGCAAAGCCTGAATTTAGTGTGGGAATTTCAAATATCTGGGGGTTGTTCAGACTGGAACAATTTATCTTTAAATTGTCAGTTAATAGTACAGAAATAAGGAAACCAAACCTTTAATAAGATTACGATGATACTGAAGGGTGATATTGAAACATGAGAAAACTAAAAGAATCACAAAAATAACAACACTGCAAAAAAAACCATGGCAAACCAAAATGCATACATATTGCATAATTAAATATAAAAGGAAACAATTCATCTTAACAAGTTTGTACAGGCTAATTTTCAATGTTAGAAGACAACTTTTCATCCTCGAACAAGAAATGTTTAAAGACATTTATGTTTTAAAATGTTTAAAAAAGAACCCAAAGGTGTTGAGAAAATCCAGTCTGTGAGCCTTTACAGATCTTAAAATAGTGTAAATAGAAATAAAAATTTAGAGAATCTACAACATCTGACTCCACAGTGCTCCTCTTTTAATAGAAAAAGCACACTGATTTGAACAAGAATAAGGAAATGAAAACCTTATATTACAGTAATGCTGCTAAGGAAGTAATGAGAAAATGCCAGGGAAAAAAGAGGACCTCACATACAGATTTAGCTACCTGTATTGGTCTTGTTAAGTAGTTAGTAAAACTGTTACTCTTAAGCTGCAAATATTTGAAAACAGCAATGCAAACACCAGTAGTTAAACTATATTCTGAAAATATTTCAAAGGAAAAAAAATAGTATGAAATATGATTTGAAACTATACCACATTTCTCTGAGTAACCAGAGGCTTAGATTTAGAAATGTGTCCATTCTGGAAATTATATTCATAAGGGTGCAGAAAACAACAGAGTATATAGCAGAATACTTTACAGAGTACTTAGGTATTTTAAATACTGAATTGGAACACATCCTTCATTTTACTAAAAGTCCTAGCCAAAAATAAAAACTTTTTAATCAGAAAATATCATTTAATTTCATTGTTACTAGAATATCAAATCCTGCTATATTTAAATCTCTTTTTTTGAGTTTTCACTTATGCAGGATTGATCATACAAACTTATTCAAAACCTGTTCAATGTAATTTATTGTATATTACTGGGTACATATCCAAAATACATAGTCAAGAAAAAAAACATATCCAGTTCTTCAGTGAAAAAAAATTGCTTTGCTATTTATAACTTGCAAAACCAGAAGAAATATTCCATATATGAGTGAACAAAATCCACACAATTCTTTCTCTAAAAATTGCTTATTGAATGCTTAGAAATCAATAGCCTGCAGAATTGCAATTACCAAGCTAAGATGAACTGTCAAAAGTCATGGCTCCCATTAGCAATCACTTGCAAAAAAAAAATAAATTTTCTTATAGTAACAGGAAGGTTAAAATTCTGTTTGTGAACAAAAGCTCTGCTTTTCACTCTGCTACCTGCAATGATATCTGCAACTACTGGCTCTGCCCAGAATTTCAGCAGGTAGAAGTGCCAGATAAAAATATAATCGGAATATCAAATAGGACTTTTTAGTTAGTTAGCTTGGAGTTGCATTGCTGCTGTCTCAGGGATTCTTTTTCTATGAAAAAGAAAAAAAAATAAATGGAGTCTAGTGCTCATCATTAACGTTGTTCTTGTTCTGCAGATAAATCTGCATTATGTATCCTTTACAATGATGTTTCCTCCTGAAGGCAATTTGTGGATCAAGATAATTGTAATTCTTTGGGCACCATAAGGCAAAATTCAGTCGCTAGGCCATCTGTGTGCCTAGCAAAAATACACACAAAAATACACTCTGTGTTTCTGTACAACTTAAGAATATTACCAGCCCTGAGAAACAAAATATTAGCTACCAGTTTATTGTGTGATCTCAGACAAATTGTTTGAGCAACACTTCAGAAACACAGAAAAGACAATGAGAAGGGACAACTGTACTACACCAAACTGCATCTATGGAGAAGAAATATGTGCCTCGTTTAGTAGGTGACAGGAAAAAAAAAGGCTTAACAAAGCAGTTCAACAAAAAGGCAGTACAGTTAGAGAAGGAAGAGTTTGGTTGCAGTATGATTTCTCCAGGTTACTAACAATGTACAA